AATCGTTGCAATAAAATAAGACACAGCGAATTGTAACGCGTTATTCTATACTATATTTTATTTTCATACATTTACCTTTAATTAAAAAATGTTAATTAAATTTAGTTAAAAAATGTTGTATTATTTTTATGATACAAAAATAATAAGACATTATTAAAACCAAACATTTTTTTTAAACAATCGTAAAACTTGTATTGAGATTGAGATTTGAAATTAATTAATCTGAAGAAAGAAAATCAATGTCAAGCTTAATTAAGCTTTGCTTTGATTGGTCAAATTCAAATTCAATCTCAATCTCAGTTTCAATCTTCAGTATGATACAAGCATAACTTTTACAAGCATTACTTCATGCTATGTAATATATTACCATTGTGTTTATACATTGTACATAAGGCGAGGTACTGCAGCCGCCATTGTTAATAAGACACTCGTCAATGTCGGTGCAATAATAACCATTGCCGCTATAGCCATGCGGGCATGCACCGCAAGTGAATGAACCGCGAGTATTACGACATGGTACCGGTGGATTTACGGAGCAAGGTGGATGGGCTGCTGCACATTCGTCTACATCCTTGGTGCAAGCTGGGCTTGTACCGTCGTTTTCCCATCCCTAAGGGGTGATAAGATAAAAAAAAGAAGCGCTTTTGCTATAAATAAGTTACAAAAGCGGGTTGCGCGTAAGTCTTAGTCAGCTGAATAATTTATAACTAGACTTTATGAAAGAAAAGTGAAACGTACTTGATCACAAATGCATATATACCCAAGTGAAGAACCGCTTTTGGCAACGCATACACCGTGCTCTCCGCAAAGCGCTTCGGAATTCTCTGTATTACATATCGATGTTTTCTGCGTGCAATGAAGGCCAAACCATCCTGGCAAGCAGTCGCATCTAATATTCGAATCAATATTAGGTATACTATATATACAGACATATTCCGCACAGTATATCCGAGAAATCATACCATAAAGGCCACTTGCGAAGTTCATTAGAATTATTTAAAAAAATAGAAATTTATAATAGAACTTTAGACTGGAATTAAAAATTACTGAAACTATTTTTACAAAATATTTTATAGTTTTGTAAAAAAACATATTTTTTTAAATTACAAAAAGATTTAAAACTTGATCAGTTGTAAATTTGTAAAATATTAGTAATTAAACAAAAGTTACGTTTTTCTATTTGCTGTAATAAAAACGTAATAAAATTTAATATTGCATACCGATAAGACCCAGGCAAATTACGACAGGTTGCTCCGTTTTGACATCCGAGATCCGTACCAAGAAATCTTGCGCACTCGTTGACGTCCGTCATACAATTTGGACCCTGAAGTAATCGTAATTATTCTCACAAAATATTATTTTCGTCAAAGTACTTATATACCTCCCAGTTTGATGGACAATGACATTGATAGGCATCATAAAGATCTTCACAAGTACCACCATTTTGACACGGGCTACTTTGGCATTCGTTTTCTCGGAGTACTGTTTGCATAGCTCTCAGTGAGTCTTCTAATATTTTAAGCTTAAAAAATTTTACTCATTTTAAATTTTATTGTATAAATTGTTATTCGTATATATCATTCACTATAAATAGATTCACGTATTACGTACTCGGACGTTGATACGACGAATGCTGCTGCTTCTGGCTAAAGCCAATGAATTAAAATTCTAAAAAGATATTATTTAAAGAACAACTTAATACATTTAATTTCACATTTAATTTATTTTTTATTTTCATGCAACAAGATTAATATAACTTTATATCTCTATTTAAAACGCAAAATAATAAATTAATAAATAATAACTGAACGTTATAAAAGTTATTGAAGCGCTATTTATAGATACATTATTATTATACAATCTCTTTTATTTCATTCTAAACATAAATAACTCTTACGTTTTTTTTTTATTGGCATATTGATATAATTTGGTATTGGGATATAGAAAAATATGTCATTGCAAGCTGTTCATTCAATATTGCGCATTCTTACCGGTATACGTGATCTGTTTCCTGTGCGAATCGTATTGTTCATGTCGATACTTCTCTCAAGCAGAGCAACTCTTCTCTGTAAACCTGTAGTGCCCGTCACTATAGTCGTTAGTTGGTGAAGCGAATTCTCCATCTCAGCCAAATATCCCATCCGCCACCTGTCGATGACCCGCGTCGCATTTTGTGCCTGAAAAGTATCACACACATACAAAATCCATTTAACTAATTGTGTCTCAATTGCTGAACATTTATATACAAATATGTATTCATTACCGCTGAGGCTACGTGAAGCAGATTAATCTCATTGACATTCATGTAACCGTCCCCTATCATCTTCAGCGTTATGTTTCTGTCCTTCGCGCTGGAGATTATGAGATGTCCATCTCGTGATTCCAAAACAGGTCTAAATTTTTAGCAAATTATTTATATATTAGAGTCTAATTGCGGAAAAAAGTTTATAGAATATTAATGAAGCTTAACATCAAGCATTTTTTATCCGATTATATCTTAAGTATTTTTCATCACGCATTCTGTTGATCCTTATATTTTCAAGAAATATGTTTATCGATTGTGTTGTATAAATTATTAAATATATGACTTTTTTCAATTTCGTTAAATATTTAAAATTATACAAATGCAAATGTAATATTGGACGCGAATAATATATGTTACATTTTAATTAAGAAATATACCTCTCATCCATCCATGCGTCGCACAAACTGAGGTATAATAACAGGAACCACATCGATGCTAAAGCCATATCAACAGCAGCTTAAAATTCAGTAAACCAAATATTATTCTGTTATATGTTGTTGGATTCTCACGGAACTTTTATTGAAAAGACAGGTCATAACAGACTGATCCGTAAGATCGGCATCGCGGGCGTCTGCAGCTCCGAATGGGCGTATTTGAGAGGTTTATCGAAATCCACCCAATATCGGTTTACAACTGCTATAAATTATATATACCAAGCAAAAAAGATATATATAAAAGATATATATAATATAAGAAGTAAATCATGAGCCCCAATAAACAATTATGACATATAAAATTATTTATATATCGTTTATTATATACAACATTCGCCTAACAATAAATTTATTAGAATTAATTTTATTTTATTCAACTTTTAGCGTGCATATTAATTACGCAAATTGTTTAATTATATAAATAGTTTCAAGAATCATATTTACGTACTAATATATATAATTATGTAGTAATGTATTCTACATTATAAAATTTTTGTGTTTAGTTTTATATTACAACCTAACGTTCTAATATAACATCATTAACTTTTTAACAATATGCATGTTTCCATAACAATATAGTACTGTATATGATATAATATATAACATATATATATAATAATAATAATAATATATATAATACATATTATTAGAAATAACGATAAAATAATTCCTTATTTCTCGATATTTATAATTAATTCATTTTTTAATAGACTCAATAGTATCTAATAGATTATATTATTAATAATGCGCTATTATCTTATTATATTAGATTTCAAATTTTATTTAAATTTTACTTTCTCTTTATTCTTTTTTGCTATTACATCAAAAATTATTCTAATAAATATTATTATTATATTGACTAAAATAATATTTTTTGCAATAAATTTTTACAGTTTTTTTTAAAGAAGTGTTGGTGTTGTCCTGTTTTACTGCTCAAATGCGACTTACATGGTTTACAATGCAAACACATGAGGCCTATTCTTTTTGGCTGAACTTTTCCTCCTGGAGAGAAAAGGAAGGAAGATAAACTGATGCAAAAGTTTAGCCAAAAAGAACAGACTTATAATTTATAAGCATCAACAAATTAATAGAATACTAAAATGTCTTTGTTTAAACTTCTAAATTTAATTTTAACGACTTATATATTTATTTTTTAATTTTACAACTGACTCCCTTTATTTCAAGCATATAACCTACATAATCTTTCCATGAAGTATGTTTTGATAAATTGATAACATTAGTCGCTATAATTGAGATAAAAATAGATATAGAAATCTGCATTAAAAAAATTTGTTTTTGCTTTGAACACAAAATACAAAGCAGATACATTAGCATGTGCATTTTAATCGTGGAAAAGAATTTTAATTCTATATTTTTCATTTAATTTGTAACATTGCACACTAATTTAATTTTGATTTGATTATGTTTTACAATTAGCATATTATAAAATTCACGAAAAAATATTATTAGGCACTAAAATCTTGATCAAATATTGTTCTCTTTTTCTTTTTCTCACTCCCTCTCTTTTTTTTTCTCCATTATTTGTGTTATTCACATATCAATCAATTTTCATTAGAAAAAGATCAAAGTTAGTACTTGTCAACAAATTATTCTTTTATTTAAAAGCCTAATTATTTTTATATAAAAAATATCAATATTTTATTCGAGTAAAATAAGACTGAAAATTAAATTTCATTTTTTTCTTTTAAATTATTCGATCGTCATTTATATATCAGTCAATTTTTATTAAAAAAGAAATCAAAGTCGGTATCTTGTTAATAAATTATTTTTTTATTTTGGAGCCAATTGTTTTCTATATTTAAAAAATATTAAAATTCGATTTGAATAGAATAAGATTTAAAATTAAATTTGTTTTTTTTCTTCCAATTACGATTATTAATTCCTCCGAAATTTGGCGCCTTTTACTACATGAGCGTAACCGAGTAGTTCAGTATACCGCCAACAGATGGCGACGGTCGAGCAACCTGCCGTCGAGCGTAATAGTCGCCGTATTCGGACAGTCTCGGTGCCTCTCAGCGTCTCGGCAGTATGGCTTCGGCTGCCGGTACGTGTGGATTAGTGGTGTTCCGTGATATTGCACCGCGCTCTCGGTCGCGGGTGTGCGTGCTCTGTTTCGTGAGAGAAAGAAGGACGAGGTTTGCGGTTTGCGGCTAGAAGACGCGTCATCGAGCATCGGCCGGGCGGACCGGAAACGTGTGACGCGAAATAAGTACGAACTAGAGCAGTCATGCGGCGGAATGTCAAGATCGCGTTGCTCCTGTCATGCGCGTGGATGTTCGCCTTTGTTTACTATTACCACACATCCAGGGACACCAAGGTAAGGTATCATTCACTATCAGCTGATCGTTGTGGCGAGAACTTTTGGATCAGCGCGAGCGTGATGATCGAATTATTTGTTGTCGACATAACGTTCGCAACGGTCGAATTCGGCTTTCCGCACGCTACTTCAGAGTGTTCAACTTCAAGCTAGTACTTCCGTTTTGCGTGTCGAAGTTTTTGTTGCTTTTGTGTTATTGATGTTATTTAATGTGCGCACAATAGAGAAGAACAGTTATTTTTTTAAATATCACAATTAAAATGTGAAATTTTGGTAGTATAATACAGTAAATTGACTTTCCAAAAATACCACGAGTCACATGATGAAAGATAAGTTTGAATTTTTAAACAGCGCGTAGATTATCTATACTGTTCAAATGTGTGTTTCATTTCAAATTTTTCTTCAAATCTTCAAATACAATATATGCATGAATGATTCAAATACATTTTATGGATAAATTTTGGTATATTTAATTTTGTGTAACTTGTGAAAAGACGAGAAAAAAGAGAAAAACTCTTATTAATGAAATAAAAAAACTAATTGCATGTTACGACATTAAAAAATATACGTATATTTTCATTAAATTTTTCATTGCGGTTTGCGTGTAATTTTTAAAAGGATTTTGTATTTACGCTTCTGGGATTTTCATCTCCAGACTTTTAACATGTGCAGTTTAAACATATCATGCACCGAGCGAGCACGGTTGTGTAAACTTTGTTGCAGTTTTTATTGTACTTTCAAGAATAAAAATGATTTCTGTAACATTTATTCAGATGTATTCTGCTTTTAATTCGAAACAACATACGGAAAAAAGAAATTAATTATATATTATTGCAATATCTCTTTCTCGGAAAATGATAGACTGTGTTAATTATGTGCTGTCGCATATTAATTGTGAATGAGTTTCAATTGAGTTCCTTTTTTTAGAAAAGGTTAGACAAGATTTTCCTAACGTTCTGCGTGTATTCTTATTTATATGAAAATAAGCTTCGTTCTACTTTAAATCCCAAGCGACGTATGTCGTCCCCATGCTCGCATTACGGTATCATCTTCCACGCGTTCCGCGTGGAATAATATCACAGAATGCACAGCATAAAAAATCAATTATCTCCGTCCTTCCATGTTCAGTGCTTTTATTTGTCGATAATCAAATTACATTACAACCCGTGAACTGTAATTCAACTTGAATTTTCTGTCCTTTCAGGTCTGTTCATTACATAATTGAATACTGCATTTAAAAGTGCATTGTTAAAATACTCTCAAACTTATCTCAAAATACAGTTTGACAGTCCGAGACTGATATTTATAGTCAATTCTTGTTTTAAGACAATAATCGTAAGTAATGTTTTCTCTGATTTGTTTATGACATCTTAAGACAATCTTAGTATAAGATAATCTTACACTGTAAAAATAAAATATTAATTTTATCTTAAAGACGTACATTGAATTTTCTGAGATGTGCAACAATTAATATTTTTCTTTATAAAATGCTAATGTTAAAATTAACATTTTTGCATATCTCAGAAAGTTCATTATACGTTTTTAAATTAAAATTAATATTATTTTTAACAGTGCAAGTATAAGAATTGACTATAAATATCAATCCTATAGTCACATTTTGATGAAAGATTAATTGAGAATAAGCTCAGTTGATTGTGCAATACGATTACCTCCGTGAAATCTGATTGAAATATTGTACGACTGTTGTAGAATATTTTCAGATTTTAACGCACTCGATAGAGGATGATTTATTAAATTTCACGTTATATATATTAAATATTTATCTTTCTTTCGTGATGTAAAATTAACTTATCAATAAACACAAATGGATGAGCTATAAGACAAACTAAGAGCTTCAATTAAATCGCGATTGCAAATGCGAGATATTTGATGTACAAATTTATAGTATATGTACATAAATACTAATAATATGCTGAATAAGGTACAAGTGGAATTGAATAAAGGGATTGTAGTATCCAAAACAAAAGGTTTAATAACCTTTGAAGTTTGTTACATAGAACGATTATTCAATATGGTAAATGCATGGTCGCAATTCTGGTACCTTAGTATCTGATGTGGTCAAGCGATGCATTCACATGTTACATCGAATTGGAGAAGCGAATGAGGCTCGCGGTAAATGTAACGTTAAACATAATAAATGCTTAATGTGATGTGAATAATGACGGAGTGCGGTGGCCTCTGCCACGGTATCCGTTTCGATTGGCTACTCTCGCGTGATCGCGTGCGACACGAGCAGTTGTACACGTAAAAATTGTTGTGTTCCACCGTAAAAATGCGGACGCTTTATCGGACAAACTCGGACTATCGCGGATTTTCTGTCGCTATCAGCTCGTTGAACTTCGGCAAAATGTTCGATATATTTTATGTATAAATGAATTAAATATTTGAC